TAACCATTTTATATAATCCTCTTACACAAAATAACCAGTTTTTAGGGGTTTTACAAAACTAACCACACGGATCTCCCCCGGGGGTGATCCGTACTGGGGGGGGGGGGGATTCGGCCTTTTTCTTAGAATTTTTTTTTAAATTTCTTTTTTTCCACTTGGGGCGAGCCACGTCATCGGATCGCACTCGGGGGCGATCCAGACTTTTTTTCTTTTTCTTTTTTTAATTTTTTTTCTTTTTTTTTGTAATACCAATTTCACTATAAATATCAACTTCTATTTCATAAATTTTCACACCTTCCCTTTCATTTATCTTCTCATATATTCTACTCTCACAACTCTTAACCCATTAAACACAATAAACCATCACAAACCATGAAATTATGTCAAAGTGATGATGTTTGTATGTATCTTCGAAGTGGCGGTAACATTTATGTATATATATATAGATGCATTACGTAAAAAAAACGATATAAACGGTACAAAAATTGAAACTTCGTATTTTATACGTATATATGCATACGGGTTTTAACACGTACGCATATTTACGTATATTCACGTACGTTTTACGTACGTATTTTTAACGTATATATGCGTACGGGTTTTAACCCATACGCATATTTACGCATCTTCACGTACGTTTTACGTACGTATTTTATATGTATATATGTGTACGGGTTAAAACTCGTACGCATATTTACGTATCTTCACGTATGTATGTACGTATATATGTATACGTATGTATATACGTATATATATATATACCTACTTACATTTACGTAAAAAAAAGCGATATAAATTGTTGTAACGTATATATCTATATATATAGATATGCATAATGTAAAAAAAAGATATAAATTGCGGTAACGTATATATATATATGCGTAACGTAAAAAAAAGCGATATAAATTGTGGTAACGTGTATATATATATATAGAGAGAGAGAGAGAGAGATGCATAACGTAAAAAAAATGATATAAATTGCGGTAACATATATATATATATATATATATAGAGATGCATTTTGTAAAAAAAACGATATAAACGGTACAATAATTGAAAATTCGTATTTTAACGTATATATACGTACGGGTTTTAACACGTACGCATATTTACGTATATTCACGTACGTTTTACGTACGTATTTTTAACGTATATATGCGTACGGGCTTTAACCGCCACTTCGAAGATACACAACTTTGACGTGATTTCATGTTTTGTGAGGTTGATTGTGTTTAATGGGTTAAAAATTGTGAGAATAGAGTATATGAGAAGAGAAATGAAAGGGAATGTGTGAAAAATTATGAAATAGAAGGTTGGTATTTATAGTGAAATTGGTATTAAAAAAAAGAAAAAAAAATTTAAGAAAAAAGTCTGGATCATCCCCGAGGGCGATCAAATGACGTGGCTCGCCCCAAGTGGAAAAAAAAAATTAAAATTTTTTTTCTAAGAAAAAGGCCGGATCGCCCCCTAGTACGGATCACCCCCCGGGGGAGATCCGTGTGGTTAGTTTTATAAAACCCCTAAAAACTGATTAATTTGTATAAAATGGTTATTTACATCATTTTCTCATAAATAAATCCAGAGGTAAATTATATAAAATAATTTAATTTTTAATGGAGGTATGAAATAATCTATTATTAAATATAATTTTTTTGAAAACCAGGGTCTAATTTTGAGGAAGATTCTGAGGCAAAATCTCAGTAGTACGATGATGATCCTAAAAGCCCGACACCGCTAAATGTACTACTTTTTAAGCAGAGAGTATAACTCTTCTAGTTTAAAACATATCCCTGCCCAGCCCAGGTCTCTCTTTCCATGCTACAAAAAGAAGCAGCAGAAGAAGGTGACGCTGATATGAAGAAAAACAGACTACAAACAATGGATCGGATCTCTGATCTACCCGACCCCATCGTCCACCATATCATGTCCTTCCTCACAACCCTAGACATCACAAAGATTTCCATCTTGTCCAAGAGATTCTTCTTCCTATGGAGCTCCTTTCCCGTCATTGATTTTGATCAATCAACGTTCGCTCGAACATCTCAAGGTACGTTAGCCTTCGTAACCGATGCCTTTCTTAATCACATTCATAATTCGACTCGGTTACGTAGAATCGACACCGTTTTATCTAAATTTAGGGTTAAAGCCAATCTAAATGGGATATCGGTTGATCGTAGATTTGATTCCGCAATCTCGTTTGCACTCGAGAATGGGGTTAAAATTATGGATCTTAATTTAGGGTTTGCAAAGTACCAGTTGCCTGTTTCATTTGCTTCCGAATCGATCAACGTTTTGAGTTTAAACGGGCTCAAATTTGATTTATGTGACCTAATTCTAGCTTGCCCTTCCTTGGGGACTTTGTCTCTAACTTCATGTGAATTTCTACGAGACGTCAATTTTTCGAGTCTAACCCTAACGGATATCAAGCTTCGTTGGTGTGTTGTTAAGTTTATTAAGATCAAGGCTTTGAATCTTCACTATTTTTTCTTCGATGCGGACAAACATCATCCTACGCGTTGTCAGATTAATCTTTTGCAGTGTGAAAACATTAGGCACTTGTGGTTGCACAATCTTGTAAACGGACATGATTGGATCGAAGAACATGCTAATTCATTGGGTGAACTTGAAACCTTCATCCTCAATGGATGCCAAGATATCAAACAGATTAGGGTTTGCAATGAGAAACTAGAAAGAGTTAATCTTTTTAATTGTCCTGCACTAGTTTCAGTCGAAGTTATAGCACCATCTCTTAAATATTTCTGCTACAGAGGGACTGATCGGAATCGGGTATGCAACATTAGTTTCACAGCTTCATCACGTATCCGATATCTTTCGATAGAGGACGCAGGGATTACCGATCAATGGATGGAAGCCCAACTTGCTAAATTTCGTTGTCTAGAGGGTCTAAGACTCGTGGCTTGTAATTCTTTAAAGAAGGTCAAGATTGTTCATGAAAATCTTCAGGAATTGGAGTTATACAACTGCCTTCGTTTGACAGAAGCCGAAATCAACACACCACAACTGTTGTGTTTCGAGTATCGTGGGGGTATCATCGAGTTGTGTACCATGGTTACTCGAAGTCTATGTACTGCAACTCTATTTATGAAACCATGGGTAACTTACAACAATGAATCGTTTTATGGATTGAGGAAGTTGCTCTCATTTTTTGGTCATTGCCAGTCCTTGAAAGTGTCTTGCAGCTGGCAGAAGGTATACTCGTTTCTTCTTACTTTCTTCAGTTCTTGTGATTCAAATATCCTACTTAAATTTTGGTTGAAAATTATTCAACAAATTATGTACTGTTTTTATTTATAACGAGCTTACTCTTTCTTTTTCAAGTTTTTTTTGATAAAAAGTTACATACGGGTGCCTTTTCTTCATTCTTACCGTAACAAAATCGGTTTTGTAGAACATCAATTATGCTTGGATGTCATAGTGGATTGTTTTAACCATGAGTCTTTTGAAAAAGTTGAAGTTATAATAAGTTAATAGGACGTTTTTGAAAATTCTAACAAACTTTTTGTTGACACTTATTAAGACATTTTTCTTTTGAGGAGTGTTCGATATACGAATATATCTTTTTATATGACATTATTTTTCTAACAATGTCATATAAAAAGATAATAAAATGTTTTAATTCAAACGTGTCTTAAAAAGCTTGTTGGGACATCCAAAACCGTTATCTCAAGTCTAACTTATATCAACTCTTTTACACATATATTCAATTCTTTGTTCCTATATACATATATATATATATATATATATATATTTATTTATTTATTTATTTGACGTCATATAAAACCAATTTTGTTGTAGTATTTTGTCTTTATAATTTATTCTAAATAAAAAATAGTTTATTTGATATTAAATTAAAGTTGATGCATACACATGCAAATTGAAGCTAGGAGTATAACTCTTTTGTGTCTGTGTGTGTGTGTGTGTGTGATTTAGGAACTGATTATACCTGAAGAGCTAAGGGAGAGATTAGTTCCACCATTGTATGATCTCCAACACTTGGAAATACATATAAAATCAATGGACAAGATTGAAACAGATCTGGTGGACAGTTTGCTATGGCTTTCACCTCTTCCAAAGACTCTGCGTATATCTTCTGGTTTGGATGATACCCTACAAATGATAATAAAGGTATCTTATGATTGATTCTTTTAATTATCCTACTTAATTATTCTGTGATATATATAAATTAATAAAACTTCCTTCTTGTAAAAACAAAAGTGCTTTATTGAATGCTAGTATTAGAATCATCTATACAATGCTTTTTCAAATTGTTAATTGGTCGTTCTTCTGCAGAAATTAAGAAAGCATAGTCATATTATTTCACAAAAAACTGATGTCTTTTTGTTATAAACCTGCAGTTTGCCTACAACGAAATGATAGGAGAGGAAGAAGATAAAAACCCATTTTGTTGCAGAAGTAAACCTATAAAATGCTGGAGGCATAACTTAACGAGGGTGGATATTAAAAGCAGTGACGACGTCTGTCCCAATAATGGAGTCGAACTGCAGAAATATTTTCGTGCAAACACGATGATGTTAGATACGATTTGTTTCAGCAAAGGTCAATTTGAATCGAGGGAAGTGATTTGAACTTGTTCAGGTTGAGTGTTAAAATTCGGATTTTTTTTACTTTTCATCGGACCATATACCTAATACCTGGATACTATATATGAACCTCCGGGGATGTTTTTTCTAAGGTTATTTTCATTTTAATGTTGTGAATTTCTAGACAGCCCGAACTAGTTAACGTTTCAGATAAATGGCTTGTTAACTTGTTTGCAAATCTTAATTCATATTAAAGTATGTGTTTTTGCTTGTTTCTTTATATATGCAGTTATTAAATTTATGATGTAAATTAAGTTTTAATCAGTACTTAATCATTTGAAAACTTTTTTAAACGTGAGACTTGTAAGATCCATTCTAGTTTAAACATTTGATTTAGTTATTTTATTTATTAAATAAATATAAACAGATAATTATATAATTTGTTATATTGATAACAACTCATAAATATATTTATTTATGATATCTCTCTTTAATTTTTGTAATTTATTATTTCAAAACCCTAAAAGAATTATCTCTTCAAGGAGACGGGGACCCCTCCACTCCATCTCCAACCAAAACCAACCTCTAACTTGTTACTGATTTCTACTTCCTTCAACCACTGATTTTTACTTTTTCACTACCACCGTTAGAAGAAGAATTTCCACTACTACTAATGGTAGCTTGGTGATGACGATGGTGGTCATTACTAGATGCAACGGCAACGGTGTTAGGCGAGATTACGTGGATCCACTTCCATACTGGCCTGTGAACATGGTGGTTGGTCCGTACCGAGTCGAGGATAGGCCGATTCGTGCCTCAACTCCCTCCATCTATGAATAACTAATTCAAATCAGTGTCAACTCGGTGGCAGTCGGATCCGAGTGGAACCCTCCGACGATGGTTCTTTTAAGTTTTTATCTATGTTCTGAGATTGGAAAGGATATGTACATGCGGGTATACAATTTGTTCTTATAAGTGTTATCTCGGTCATGAGATTGGTTCACAATGTGTTCCCGAGCAATGTTCACATATGGAATAACCTTTGTTCACTATATGTGTTCACATGTTTAAGTCTCAAATATAAAGCTCATTGTACTTTTTGTGGAAAAATTGTTAGCATACAGTGAACACCTTTATAATGGTGTTGATGCAGACACTTGTCTCAAAGGTGCTTATAAACATCAAAAGGTTTTATTTTTTGTTATTTATGTGCTCACCATGGTGTTCGATTGGTACTTATTTATGTCAAAGGTGAGAGGGTGAGAGGCAATCAACAGAGTAAGGGGCTGTTTGGTAGGCTCTTAATGGTTACATTAAGAGCCAATCGCTGAATCGGTCAGAGGTTGTAAGTGTTTGGCAAAAAAAAAACCACCTCTTAATGGTTACAAACACCTCTTAACCATTTTGACCCTTATACTCCACTCAACCATTCAGGGGCTGTTTTTTTCCATCTTTGCCCTCATCTACTCACGCAGACCTGCTCGCTTCCATTCCTCTTCCCCTTCCATTCCCGATCGAAGCACATATCCTCTTCCCCTTCCATTCCCGATCGAAGCACATATCCTCTTCCCCTTCCATTCCCGATCGTCCTTTCATCGTCGGTTCCCGATCATCCTTCCATCGTCGCACCCCGATCGCCTCGTCTCCGGTCGCCGCCTCGTCGCCGCTTCGTCGCCGCCTCGTCGCCGCTTCGTCGCCGTCGCCTTCCACAGCCTCACGTCGCCGCCTCGTCGCCGCTTCGTCGCCGTCGCCTTCCACAGCCTCACGTCGCCGCCTCGTCGCCTTCCACAGCCTCACGTCGCATTTGGTTTAGGGTAGCATTTTTCTGTCTAGGGTTTGGTTTAGGGTAGCATTTTTMTGTCTAGGGTTTGGTTTAGGGTAGCATTTTTCTTTGAAAATTGATGGTGTTTATTGCTAACTTCATGTTTATAACAATGTTAATGATGATTGGATTACCTATATTTTGCAATTTCTTGAGGATTTGTGATCTTGATATGAAGAACATGAATAACATCATCTTTTTTTTTCTAAAAGAATGTTTAGAATTGATTGTATTTCTTGAGGGTTAAAATGGTAATTTTGCTGTCATTCAGAAAACAATTACCAAACAACTTTGTTTCATTCAGCACTTAACCATTCTGACCCTCTTAGCCATTCTAACCTCTTAGCTATTCTGAACATCATTCAGCAACTGCCAAACAGCCCCTAACCTCTTAATAGTTCCATTAAGAGCAACTTCTGAATCTTTAAGAGGTGAATCTTGTTTGGCAAAAAAAAAGTCTGCCTCTTAATGGTTCTAAAACCCTCTGAATGATTTTGTATCCTGAATTTTCTTTAACCATTAAGAGCCCTAATTTCATTGTACACAATTACCAACCAATTATATTTTATTTTGCACTATATCAKAAAAGTCTCTTAATCATTCTGACCACTTAATCATTTTGCATCAAATCATTCAGCAATTACCAAACACCCAGAAGAGAGAGAGAGAGAAAAAAAAAGATTTGTAAATAACCATGCTACCCTTTAATTAGATTTTTAAATCAAAATTGTCAAAATAAATGATTTCCTAATTGAAGTCTGATTTATGGTTTGGATTTAATCTCACGGATCCCACAAATTACATGAATTTCAAAAGAATGTCATATATATATATATATATATATATATATATATATATATAGGGTTTATTTCAAATACAACCTATCGCATTTGTACAATCAATGCAACCCAATAAATTGAAATATTTATGGAAATAATTATAGTTCATTTATTATGATTTATATATTTATGGAAGATGAAAACGGTTCATTAATTATGATTAATACTTTATATTAGGAAATAATCAAAACCTATATAAAATCACATATTAATAAAATGAAATGGACGGTTGAGATTAGGTTGTATTGGTTGCACAAATGACGAGGGTTGTATAATAACCAACCTCTATATATATATATAGAGGAGCGTTCAAATGAAAACTCTCTCCATTTGTGTAAACCTTGTAAACCAATCTCAACCATCCATTTACTTGATCAATGGTCAAGATTTGTAGGTTTTATTTATGGAAATTAAAAAAATATATAAAATAAAAATTCAGTTTATTTAATCAATAAGGGTAGAATGGTAAACATAATTAACAATTCTTAAGCTCCTAATCGCAATCCTAATCGCAATCTTTCCTCATAATTAACATACATGAATTTTTTTCATTACATATTTTTACATGAAATTATTTCACGTTAATTATTCCATTATGCACCCGTTGCATGATACATATATTTTCAAATAGAACAAAACCYAATATGCACCCGTTTCATGACCATTCAAATAGAACAAAACYCGTTGCACGATGAAAGTAGTGCATTAATCTCGAATTACTTTGAAAAAGAAAACGTTTCATTATAATGAAATTATTTCGTTATAAWTTTTTTGCAATGAAACACTTTCACCTTCAAATTCTTGCATGCATATTAACWTCATAACGTRCAAAATCCATTATTAATGATTTCATTACCTATGAATGTATTTCATTAACTTTTTTTGCTTGAATTTTTTTCATTACATATTTTACATGAAACTATTTCGTTAAATATTTCACTTTAATCTATTCCATTATACACCCTTTTCATTATACGTATATTTCAAAAARAACAAAACCCAATATGCACTCGTTTCATGACCATTYTAACAACAGAGCGATTCAACTTCTGATACAATGCATCATGGATCACGATGAAAGTAGTGCATTAAACGAGTTTTACTTTATTAACTTTTTACATGAATCTATTTCATTAACTGTTTCATCTCAATCTATTTCATTAACTATTTCATTAACTATTTTAAATGAATCTATTCCATAATGCACCCATTTCATGATACATATATTTCAAAAAGAACAAAACCAATTATGCAACCGTATCATCACTATTATAACAACTGAACGCAATAACTTCATATACATTTTTACATGGATCTCAATGAAAGTAGTTCATTAATCTCGAATTTGTTAAGAAAATGAAAACGTTTCACTAGCATGAATCTATTTCATTAATTATTTTCCAATGAAATCTTTTCACCTTCTCCTATTAAAAAATAGTGCACAAGGGCTGTTAGGGTGATACATGAACTATCATGAATCTATTGCATACACCTTCATATTTTTACATGAACAAGATACKCAGAAGATTCATTCCATTGCAATTTCTTAAAAATAAAGATTTTAATAATATATTACAATAAAAGCTTAAAACATTACCATTTTTCATACTTTCTCCTATTAAATTTGCCTTAAATAAAATATATTACTAACTTCCTTAATTATCAAAATTTTTTGTAAAATGACATAAATAACCTTATCAATTAAATTTAATTAAAAATAAATGGAATTTTCTTATTGGTCGAAATTGGTTCACACGGTTTTTAAGAATTGGATGGTTCGCATTTGAACATGCCCCTATATATATATATATATATCTGATTGCACTACAACAAAAATTAATTGTGCTTATAAGACACCACAAATTTTTATAAGCATTCTAATAGGTTGCTTTATAAGACTTACCTTATAGAACCATAAAATAAAACGTCATATCTAAAGGTATTGCAATAAGTTTACACTTTACTGGACGCTTGTTTGCGTCTTAATATGTTTTTCAAGACACTTCTAATATAAAGCGTCGTATTACCTATTTTATATGATCCTTTTGAAAATGTGTCCTATAAACACATCTTACATCTTTTTATAAAACATTTGATTTACTAAGACACTTTTTCAAGTAGTGTCCTATAAAATAGCTAATACGACGCATTTTTTATTAAAATGTCCTAAAAACTTGTTACGACGTCCAAAAACATCATATAAACTTATTACAATGCTTTTAGATGGAAAACTTTATTTTTTGGTTCTATAAATTGAATCTTATAAAACAGTCTATTAGAACGCTTATAAATTTTTAGTGTTCCATAAACTCAATTTTGATGTAGTGTTGTTTGTTTGTACACCCCTTGTATGTAGCTTGCTCGCTAGTTTCTTTTAGTTCTTTATTTTGTAATCTAAGGGTCTTACTAAAACACCCTCTTTAGTTTGTACCTTAATTAGGGGGTGTTTGGTTTGATGAAATGATTTTGAATAATTCAGATTTAGTAAAATGATTTGGAATTGGAGTGATTTGAAATGTTTAATGTGTTGGGTTTGTAGGATTTAGAATGAAATTGAATTTCATTATTTATAAATAATTTATAAACACAAATAATAAATAACTAAATTATTTTTTTATTAATTGATTATTACTAGTGTTTTAAACATTTTTCAAAACATTATTACATATAACTTTTATAAAATTCCATGAAATAAAAATTACCTCTATAAAATTTTAAAATCCTATGTGTGAAATTTTAAATTCAGAAAATCCTTTAAAACCGATGTAATTGGAACGAAATTCAATTCAAAATTCTATCAAATCCCACAAATAGAAAATGAATTTAAAATTAGAGTCATTGTCTACATACATCTTACCACTACTAAATCCAACCTCATTTGTCTGGTTTAGTTAGTTTTATTTACCTTTGTTAATATCGTATTACTTTTCATCAACTAGCAAACAACTCGGGAATGGAAATATATGGTTGAATATGATGACCAATGTAAAATTAAAAGGCAATCACAAATTCAGTTTAATTAGTTACCTAAGCCTATCAGAAAAATGGCTAGCACGTACAAGTGATATTGGACGGACGAAAAATCGTTTGAGAATATGAGTAAAAGTGAGATGTGTATGAAAGGATCTAGACCCTTTATCACTTTTTATGTCACACCCACCTCATGAGTTGCATTTTAT